ACAATAGGAATGTTACACAGAAAGCATTGGACAAACAGTGGCTGATGCTTTCACCCTGTTAAAGTCAGTGCCAAAACTGCCACTAAGCTACAAAACAGCAAAAATTTAATTTAGAAAATCTAGCAACTCTTAACATCTGACCTGACATTGTGAACAGATGAATATGCACCTGTATGAAGAGCCTGGGTGAGCACACCCAGGATTTAGGATTTTGCATCTATACCAGAAAAACACTCCCACATAGGAAAGAGGAGCTGTGCTAAAAAACCCACAAACCTGTATTAAAAAAATGTAGAAGAGTATATTTGACATCAGTCACAAAAAAAATACAAGAACGCGAGAAATCTGAAAAAATAAAGATGATGATTGCTATGTGATGCATCCAAGCACAGATACTAACTGGTTTTTGAAAATATTTTTATCTTAGTTTCTGCCTGGGCAAACTTTATTCATGTATGCTATAAATACATGGATAGGTGAAGGCAATGAATTATGAGGACTAGCAAACCCAGCTCTTAAAATAAGATATATAATTTAATACTTAATCCTTTAAAGGTTATGAGAAAGAGAAATTATTCAAACTTTACAATAAGTAGAGATCTATAAAGGACCAGTCTTCTCATAGAATGATTTTGTGACTGTGACTCCATCTCTACTTCATAATCTAGCCAGAAACTGATGTAGTATTGAAGTTAACTTATTGATCGTACAATTCCATGCCACTTGGGGTGGAACTGGAAATCACTGAGGTGAGGTTTTCTGAAAAATCTACCCAAAGAGATATGAATGATGGACATTCCATTAAGTTCTTTTTTTTACATTATTAATGACCAAAAAAAGTTAATTTTGACCAGATAGATATTGCAATTAATTTCAAGAACAGCAAAGGACAGATTATCTAGATAGTCTAGCTCTATTCATATGGCCTGGTTCTAAGAAAATTCCTCCAAGAATATTTCAGAATTTATCCTGAGCAACCTCTGAATTGTTAATGATCATTTCTAAAAATTGTAGGTGGACAGGGAGTCCCAGAGAACTGAATAAAGGAAAACAAAATCTATCTTTAGAGCAAGGCTAGAAAGAAATGTATGGGATACACAGTGAAGGATTAGTTTAACTTCATCACCTGGAAATGCTCTCACTGAACAGTCACTTAACAACCAATAAAACAGACAATACATAGTTTTGGTAAGAGCAAATCACATGATACCATTCTAAAAAAAAAAAAAATCCAAAGCTTGGATAAAAACCTAGCAAGAACATGAGGGATCACAGATAGAATTTATATTGACTGAACCACAGCTTTTGACAATTCCACACAATGTTCCCAGAAGCCAGCTGAATAAAAACGATCTAGATAAAATTATGAGGTGGATGTACAACTGATTGAAAATTACTATTTGAATTTATCATTCAATGCAGTCCTTAAATGTGACAAAACAAGAAGTAGGGCCCTGTAGAAGTTTATCCTGATCTGTTCAGTTTTTTTCCTCTGCAGAAAAGGATTCAGAAGATGACAATGGATTGTAATTGGAAGTGAAAAATACTGCTACAAGACATTCAAATGACCTTCTGGGATGCATTAACAGGTATAAAATACAGGAAACAATTCTTTTACTCAGCTTGGCATTAGACCTCAGCTGGAAAACTGTGTCCATTTTTGGGCTAGGTATTTTTAGAAGAATGTAGCTCTATGAATCACACAGCTCAGAGGTGAGCAACAGGGATGGTAAGACGTGACTTCTTCAGAATGGCTGAAAGAATTGAAGCTGTCTTCTAGGAAGAAGACAAGGATGAAGTGAATCTTCACATGCACAAAGTATATCTTTCTTCAAAATCAGCAGGAAAACAAGTAATTTCATTTGCTGAGAGAAAAGGTAATTTAGATTAGGCACTATCCTTTTAATTGAAAGGGCAATTGAGCATTGGTTACCGCAGAGGCTGCTGGCATTTTTAAGAGCAGCTGAGGATGGTGTGAATCTGCTCAGTTTTATCTCAAGGATGGGGATAGACTAAATCAAGGCTATTGTTCTGACGGCCATCCATAGATTGCTTGGATAATTTGCCCACTCTGTTGCCAGCCAGCAGCCAACGAGACTTGGCTGAGCTGTTTGGGAGTGGCAGCCTCTGACCAGCTCACGGTTTCATAGAAAGATCTCTCCTATAGTGGGTGATTGTTATCTTCCCTGACCAGAGAAGGACTAGGGATGTCTGGGGAGGGTGGTGGTTGAGAGCAGGCTGTTGCCAGTGCAGTTTGTCTGTTTGGAGTTCATTCTGTCCTCAAGCCTGCGGATTATCTTGAAAATGAGAGAACCAAGTACAGGTTATATGAAATACAAGGGTGGCAGCAGTATACTCCCAAATCTGCAACAGGAGATGACTAAGCAGCTGTTCCTGGTCTCAAAATATCTATATTGAGGTCCTGGGATACCTGGTGGTCCATGAGTCTGGAGCTCAGTGGTCCATAACTGGCTACAGAATCGTGATGAAGTTATCTGCCACTGCTTGAAAACATGTAGAAATCATTAGATGAAATGACATCTTGAAGTCATTTTCAACCTTACACTGCAGAAATTTCTGTGAATTAGTGGAATAGTTTCACTCCTCTTTTTAATAACAGCAGGACTAAAAATGGAAGAACAAATAATAGATTAAAAAATGGTACAGTTTCAGTATCCACTACTGATAGTGCAAGTTTATGAGACTTTTCTCTTTATATGATACATATAGAATAGAACATCTGTGCAGATTTGGAAGAGCTGGTATGTCAAACTGTGACATATGAGAATTGAAATGTATCTCATCTTTAGTGAAAACTTTGGGCAAATAGCTGAACTATATTAAATTAGATTACTTGAGAATTACAAAAAGTGTAATTTGAGAGGAAGGTCGTGACAGATAGAACTTTGCCTTGTATTTACATAATGGATTAAATGCTTTTTTCTTTTCAAATGCCAAAATTGGTCAAGGATTTCTGAAAGAATAATACTCCTTAAAACAATATAATTATCCCAGATCCTTAAAGTTCCACCAGGAAGAAAAAGTTCTTGCCAGAGAAGAAAAAAAATAAATTTCTACATATGGTATCTGACTGATATGTACTGAATTTTAAGCTTCAGGGCAAGAAATGTGTGTGGAAATACCTAATTTTCATGCTTTGGGACTTCACATCTGTGAAAGCCTTGGTATCATTACACTGGCACATCAGGTTGGATGAGGGTATATTTTTACTTGGAACCTGTTTCTTGTGCTTATCAGAGAAGTCGCTTAGCATACTAACATCTGGCACAGACCTGCTCTCTGAAGGAGAGGGCTGATCTGCCTGACAATAAGCCCCAAGTGCCATCTGAAGGCACAGCCCTATGTGCAAGCCCCAGCAGAGCACGGCAGAGGTGGCCCATCCCTACTGCAGGATGGTGCTTTCATCCAGCCCTAAAAAACTGTGGTAAGTGCTTCCACACTTCTGTACACAGTCCTCACCCTTAAAAAGATAAGAAATCAAAGTGTTTGAACATGGTGAAGAGCAGTGTAAGCTGCTTACATAATCACTGTTTACATTCTGTATAGAGGTGACAAAATCATCTCGAAAAAAATTGTCAGTGTTGATAAAGACCATATCAGTAAACAGCAGATTAAGCGGGACACAGAGAGCCTTGCAGCCCAATTATACATAATTTGCCACGGACATGGTTTGAGAAAGAAATGCACACAATGACTTAGAGAAAATTGCTTAGCTTGGCCACATCCTTATTAACAAAACAAAAGTGCCTGAGGGCAAATTGTCCTTGAAAAATAACTCCTGGAAATAACAGCGTGTCCTCATCCTTTACCTTATGATGAAGAAGAGCCTTTTTCTCCCACTCCCCATCCCCTGAAGCTATCCTGAGCCTCTTCAACATCTACCTGACTTGCATGTTTCCTCACAGCTGCTTAGACCTGGCCCCTCACCCTTGAAGAGCCAGGATCTGCATCACTAATCTGTTACACGCCTTCAGCAGCTCTTTTTTTGGGATCTATGTGGTGATTTCATCCTACCTTAAATCCAAGATACCACAGATCTTGGAGGTTGCTCTGCCATGCCTAGTCTGCTGTTTTATCCGATGAGCATTCCTGCATCCTTCCCAAAGTCTTGTTCCCAACTTTTCCTGCACTCATGCATCAACTGCAAGCACAAAGACAAATCAAATCACCAGGGAAGTGAGTGTATGAGCCTACCAGCAGCCTAAGGAAAGTGTCTCTGCCACTGTGTTTTAACTCAGCTGTTCATGAAAAATGTTCCACCACACCTTCAGCAATGAACCTGTGGGGATTTGTTGATCATATTTCAGAGTGACAGTCTGTTTATAACAAGTTTTCAAAATCAGAACTTTTAAGGAAAAGAAAGGTGGTGACTTGTTGTTCATTGTTTTCAGGTACTGAAAAGGAAAATTTAGAAAACTTTTATAATTCCACTGAACTAATACAAACATTAAGGACAGACTGTCAAAAATAACAGCTTTAAAAGGACTGAATTAATCTTTCCTAAAGAGTTGAACAATGATCTACTGGCTAACAATCTTTAAAACTAATAACAAGAGAACAGGCTAGAATAGAAAAAGAATCTTTCAAGGAATATTTGGATGAGTTGAAATTTCTCAAATTACTTTTACTGTGCTGAAATTCCAGAAATCACTGAAGACTTTGTGAGGTTGTGGGGAAAGGGGAAAATCATGAGGAAAAAGACCATGAACAAGAACAATGCTGAGAAGGATAGCCATATTATCACCTTAAAAAGAGGGAGTAGGATTATGTACAGAATACCTAGCTAGGGAACGGCACCATAGAAACGGACCTATAACACATGACAAAAGGAATCTAATTGTTCCAAGTATCATATGGAAGGCATGGATGGTAAACAATATCCTTCACATAGCACTGATGAGATCTTGATCAGAGCAATATTTCTTGTATTGGAGTTCATACTTTAAGAAATACACAGAAGTAGTGAAAAGACCTTTATTTATTGTGCATTAAAAAATTTCTAGGAAAAAAATTGCTCTTTGTAGGAAAGCAGATACGCAGGGGAGGTATTAGTCATAGTTGTCTATGCTGCTATGAATGTGAAAGTGGTCAGTTATTTTCCATTTACAAGGAGACAGTAACCTGTGAATATATAGTAACATTAACACTTGTGTTAAATATCAGGTGAACTTTCTTGCCATCAGCACAGTCAGGCACTACATCAGGAGATGGCTGTATTATTGTCATAGGAAGTTTAAACAATTGTTCCTGGCTTGAGGCCAGTAGTTGGTCTACGCCACCTTTTGTGTCCATCATTTCTACGATTTTTTCTTCTAAGCAAATACCTTGATTTTTTAAGCAATTCAAAGCCACATTCAAATTCCAGCTGCAAACTCTTGTTTTGTTGCCCATATGCTCTCCAGCACAGAGCAGTGTGCTGTGTTTGACAAGCTAGCAGGCTCTAGGGACATCCTGTTGGGACAATGCAGAGAAGAAATACTGGGAAGGTAAGTGAAGAGGGAAGGAGGAATATATTAGCTCTGTGGCTCAGTGGCAAGTATCACCAGTGTTACAAATACCATCAAAGGAGAGCCAGTTCCTCAGTGCCATTGAACCCAGGTAATCTGGAGCTGGGTTTTGCAAGCTCAGCACAAGGATACTGTGTAACTTGTCTATTTACAGTATCATGGCCATTCCAAGGTTCAATGAGAATTTCAGTGTGGGAGAAGATGCCATGAACAGATGGAAAGGCAGCAGTAATCTGCAGACATATTGACAAAGCGTGCAGGCCAACTGGGTGCTGACCAAGACCAGCTGTCCCTTCTTTTTCGTCTAGAGTATTTGAGAGAAAAAAAGAGGCAGAGTTTCAAGTAACACTCCCGCCCATGAGTTACTGCTTGGTGTTGATACGGTGTGACCCTTTTTCCACGGCTGTTTTATCCACTACAAGGATGCCATCTTCGCTGCCTTAGAAGCACCCCCATTCACATCCTGCACCAGAAGGCAGCAAACTCCTCTTTCTTTTTGGTAGTACAGGCAAAATTGGACCTGTACAGGCAAGCCTATCAAAAGAAGAAAAATGTGAGCTTAGGGGGGAAGTGGTTTGACAAGGTGCCTGCTCTCACCTAGCCATAATAAATCCTTAGCTGTTCTTGGACTGTAAGGACAGAGATCACACCTTCATATGTGCCTTCTTATGTTGCCTGCCTAATGTCTCCTAGGATCCAGTACAATACTTACACAAAACATATAAGAGGATACAGCAAGGAAATATCCCCAGTTTTGCCAGCTATCTCCCCAAACTCCCAAGAGGTTTGGAAAGGCAGATGTATGCTCTAGGTCTTTGAAATGATCTGGCATCTCCAACAGCTCAAACACTACAGTGCCATAAAACACTCATTCTGTCAGAAATGCCATAAACGACTTACCGCCTGAAAGATGCATCCTAAAAACCCATTTTCAAAGTACATCTTTATAAAAAACAGAGCAGTTCAAACAATTATTTCCATATGAAAAGGGCCAACCAGAATTAAATATTATGTTATGAAACAAAGTCCCTGGCCAAGACAAAGGCAATTTTCTATCTGCAGGTTAACAATATGAGGTGTCACCCAGCTGCCTTCAAGAGAGTTTGCAAGCCTTGTCATATAATACCCGCTTACCATGGTGATTGCAAGCTGTCTCAGTGTTACTGCAATCAGCCCAGATCCAGTTTTGAGAAGTAAGATAGAAGATAACAGATTCACACAGCACTGATTTAGTCTTCAGGCTTGCCGAGAAGTTTGCTTGCACCTGGCAGTGCTGATTGAAGTCCACACCTGATTACGCCAAAACTATTTATTCTGTCAACAAGGCATTTTGCAGTTCTGAAACATAAAGGTGCAGGAGGTTCCTTTATAATTTCAAGAGAAACTGGAGCAGAATCTTTGACTTCTCAAGGACAAAACACAGTGCAAAACAAAACAAAGCACAAATCATCGACTTGATATTCTTACCAAAAAAAATCACAACACAGTGAAAGAAAACAGTTTCTTCCTAAGAAGTAATTCCTAGAGTAACCTGAAATTGTTCCTCCTTTGAGGGCATTTTAGTAAGTTACTGTTTGAGACCCAAAGAAGAGCTTGTATGCCTGAACACTCATCTGCTTGGGTTCTTTTTTACTGCATCATGTAGTCTACTAGAAGATATGTCTCCCTATGAGCTTGCCTGACATTTACTAGGACACTGGTGCTAGAACAACATTACCTCACTAATATAACATTACATTCCAAACAAAACATGGAATAAAGCATTCAACCCTCCTCATATCAGGACCAAGGGTCAAGTAGTCCTTTTCAACCTTCAAGGCTTTTAGCTTTCATCTTTTCCTACCCAGGGTCTGCTCAAAATATAAGCAAACTGACCAGGTACCAGGACACACGGAGAGCTCAGGGGCTTCTGATGTGAGTTATAGGAATGCAGGGGAGCGGTAGGCAAACAGCATAAGGATGATCCTCTTCATATTACCCAAAAAAGTAGATTTAAAAGAAGAATAAGAGTTTGCATTTCTGTTAATATTCTTGTAAGATGGGAGGGTGTGTGTGAGGGGTGGGGGTGTGTGTGTGCTTTCAGCTTTCTAGGTTGAAAAGCAAATAAACACTTTCATTTATGTGTAACTATGTTGCCTGTGAAGGTTATCTCTGGAGATCCCAATTTTTATTCTCTCTCACCAACCTTTGCCACTTGAACAAATGCTGTGGTTGTGAGATGTCACCTGGAACATGGCTCAGCACCAGTGGGAGGCTCAGAGGTGTTTGCTGGCAGCAGATGTTTGGTGAGAGCATTGATACCCATCTATACCGCACCTGGAGGATCTCCACTGAGCAGGGTATTTGCACATCCATTTCCCACCTCTTCCAGTCTTCATCACCAAAGCCTGTGGCACAGAAGGATAATTGAATCCCCCTCAAACTATGTCACACCAGGTCACACCTGCCTCACCCTGCTCTGTCCCTGTGTGGCATTTCGGAGCTCCGGGAGGCAGGTGTGACACCTTGCTCTTACCAGAAGCCCATGACCACAGAGGTCCAAATGAGCATTTGCAGCTCTTCTTTCCAGGAATCTGTCACTGGTTGCTATAGTGATAAACAAGTTGGCTTATTAGGAAAAGGAACAAAACACTAGAGAAAATTATTTCAAAATGGCCTATGTGCATACATAAGCATGCAGTCTCTCTCCTCATTGTCAGCTTGGGCAGCTAGTTTCTTTTTTCTGGAACAGCATGGACACCATATACATTATTTTAGAAAGTCCAGTCCCATCTCCACTGTGTTTTCTGACACACAGTATCCTTTGTGAGGGAGTGGAGCTTTCACATCTGAGCTGGATGATTAAATTTCTTGGAGGTTTCCAAAACTGGATGGTGTAAGAAAATGTGCTCTCTTAGAAAAACTGCTAGGTGATCTAATGAGGCTGAAATAAGTCTAAAGGAGCAGGAGAGGACAGAAGAAATTATGCTTTTGCTTTTGCTGCATCCTCTACTGGGGTTTCATTTTTTTTAACCTTTCTTTGCCCCTTGCTGATGCCAAGGTACCTCTGTGCAGACACTTAGGGTGGCGATCTGTGCCTGTCAGATGGCAGAACATTACTTTCTCTGTAGGATGCCTGGCTTACACTTTAGTCTTCTGGGCCTTCGCTAACATGTAATAAGCCTGTTTTCATTTGAATCTCTAGATACACAGTGACTCACTGAGATCAGGCTTGTGCCCTTGAGTGTGTAGTAGACAGTGGATGTTCTTTGACACTCCTGTGAGATGCAGCCACAATGCTCCTTTTTTTTGGCTAATTACACATTCTGATTGACTGAGTGATGCCAGAAGGTGTAAATTCAAACACTAGAAACTACAATGCCTATATTTCATTCAGACAAGCAGGGCTAGTCTTTTGTCTGCTATGATTTGAGTCACCTGGCATCTGGATTTACCATCACAGAAACCAGGCTGATAAGCTCCCTTTGCCAGAGCTAATTACTCACCTCCAGTTACCACCAGTAACTGATGTTGAAAGGAAAATATGAAACAGCACAAAGAAATAAACCATCCTTGAGTTTAAGCTATTCATTTACAGTCATGTGAAACAAAAACTATTTCTCTGCAGCGTTTTATCCACTAGTTAAAAATAATTGCACATTTTTATATGTTTATCCAACTGATTTTGCTTCTGCTTCCCATGGGACTGTAATAGTTCTATCAACTGCAGAACCTACAAAACAATATATTTTAATAGCTTTATTTCAAATGCTATCTTATAACTCAGACCATCTTTCCAATAACTGAAAAAAACCCCTGCAAAACCCCAGTTTGTAATGTTGTGCCTAGCTTGAGGAAATCCTGGTGTTCAGAAACTGAGGGGAAATTCAAAAGGAGCAAGAAAAGGCTTGGCCAGCTTGTTCCCCAACCAGGCATGTCTAGCTGAGAGGCTGGGTGGGAATGCTGGGTCACAGGGGAAGCCTCTAGACGGAGCTGCCTGATGGGCGAGTGACCCTGAGTCGGGAAGGGGTGAAAGGCAGAAAGAACCGAATTGTTTTAAGAATGTGGAGAAGTACATCCATGGCAAGCTATAGCAACTCTCCTGCCATGTCTGTCTACCCTTTTCTACAGATACTGGAATGACTGAAAGCAGCGAAGAAGAAAGGAACTTCTGACTTATGACTACATCCAGCAGTGTGTTCCAGTTTGAAAAAAACTTCTGTGGGCCTGTAGAGGATGCTTTCTAGCACTGTGTCAAGCGCTCTCCCGCTGGAGCCAGGCATCATCTGATGGTAAGAAGCACAAGAAACTGAAGCAGAGATAGTTTTTTTAAAAACAAATGAAAAATTGGGTGGCAAGTCCTGACATATCTCTGAAAAAAATCTTTGGAGGCCGGGGGCAGCAATCACAACACCATAATAGATGAGCCAAGCCATAAACTACTGCAAACAAACAATTCTGGACCAGATCCTGAAGAGAAATGCCTGCCCACACACTCTGATACAACCCAGAATATGCACTGTGCTGCATACTGTGTGTGAAACCATAGGAACAGCCTGAGTCACACAGTGATTGGTACCATCCATCACAAGTTAGAAACTCGTCCTTTGTTTTGAAGTTGCACCTGAGGCCTCAAATCAAATGTGACAATTTTTATAATAACCTGTGCTAAGGTGTTTGGCAGAAAAAACTATCTCTGTAGACAGTTTGTCTCTGCAAATGGAGTGGTTATTTGACTGGGTTCCTCCAATTTCCAGAGGATGAACATTCTGCTTTGCTTATCAAGAAACAACAGTTTAATAAATAGCAGCTGCCTTGTATGTAGCGCCTTCATTATGTTTTACCTTTCCATCTAAAATAATCTACACCTAAAGCTAAGAGACGGTGCTGCTGCGTTATTTGATATCCCATCTGATGTATCCGGCTCATGACCTCCCAGTCGGTTCCATGGCACGTGAAGACACGTTACAACGGTTCTGAGGGAAAAATATATTTGTTGAGATTTGTCATCAAGTGACCACGTGCCTCATATTGTTATGTTACAGCAAATGCTAGATGAGCAAATGCAGTAAATATTTGTTAGCAAGTGTAGAGAAACACATAGTTACCAGCTTTCAGGAACACAATTAAAGAGGCGGAAGGTCACCACACAGTTCATCGGGACACCTCCCTGGTGCTGAGTTACTGTTTGTGCTCCTTCCTAAACTGCTGCAATTACATTCAGCTATTCTTACTGCTGCTTTTACTAAGGCATAAACCATTAAGTATCCTCTATAGGCTGAGCTCTGAATACAAAACACAAGTTCACTAAAGATAATATTTTGGAGGAAAAAGTAATACAGTACTTTTAAAATATTATATATTTGACTATAAAGAATGCCAATTAAACACTTCCATTTGTAACCCTTAGTTTCTATGTTCCGTCCCAATAGCTTTTTAAGAATCCTGACATGGTATCATATAGTATCTAGGAGTGATTAGCTTTGAATTAACTTCTCCAAATGACCGCTGGTTTTCAAATGAGAACAAGCAGTAGCTTCTTGGTATGTTGCTTTGGTACACATGTTTGCATTATTCGAACAAATTATCTCTGTAAATAGGATTGTACTGGAAATGAGAAAACAATGGTATGCTCAGTCACTGGAGAGAGGTGGAGTTCAGGTGATTGTCCTTTGGATAAAATGCATCAGCATAAAACCACCAACTGTAATTTCACGTCCAAGGCATTTTTCATTTGGATATATAGAACTATTTATGCTCACTGCATTCCTCCATATTATTTCATTAATCACATAACAACCCTTCCACTTCACCACTAACTCTAATTAGCTCTTTGCCACACAGATGTTTCCTCATTTAGATGTCCAGTGCCTGGTCATGTGTCACCCTCACTTTCAGATGAATTTCAGCTTACATTACATCGCTTCAGTGTCCTATCTGTGTGTGAGCCTGCTGGGTTAATATGTCCTTTTAAATAACAGATTGATTGCAGATAGATATGAATGATAGATAGACATGGTGTCCACATTATCTGCATTTGTTATACACATGCAAATGTGAAGGATGCATGTGAAACTGGAACCAAAGCAGTAGTTTAAGCCCAGGAGGCTGGCGTGAAGGCATGACTGATTTCTCTAAGCCACGCTATTCCTACTAATAAGTCAATGTATCAGTGACAAATCACTCGATTTCTGATCTCAAATAGTTCATGAGCCAGTGAGACCATCATTCGATCTATATGTTTTAATCAGAGAATCATGGAGAATTCTGTAATTTGCAAACTCTACTGCTGTGCTTCTGTGCTCTTATCCAGCTTGAAGTTTTAAAAGCATAATTCAAGCTGTAAGGAAGTGTTTAGTTATGACAGCAGGGAGTGTTGAAAAATGCATCGGAAACTTCCCTGGGAGGAAATGATTCGTGAAAGGTTTTAGATTGTGCATGTCATGTGTGTTGCAGCACCTAATGAATGTCTTTTTCTCAAAATAAAGAGAGACGGATTATTACGAAATTCTGATATACGTATCCTTTTCAAAAAGGAGCTACGATCTCTGGGGACGCAGCTAGGCAGAACAACGGGGAGATGCGTTCCGGGCTCGCACGGGCTCGCAGGGCGGTGCGGGCGATGTGAGGAAGGCAACACCGACTGACGGGCACCGACGGGAGCTGCGGAAAACCTCCGCCTTATTTACAACTTCTTACTTCGGCCGGGCTCGAAAATATTCCTCCCTTAAAAAAAAAAAAAAAAAAATCCAACCAAGCCAGAAATAAGCGAGCGAGTGCCCTTCGCTCCGAGGGGTAAGTACTCGGGCACGGACCCTCTCCCTACCCCAGCCCAGCCCAGCCCAGCCCAGCCCAGCCCAGCCCTGCCCTGCCTGCCCAGCCCGTCGGGCGGCTGCCGCTGTGCCGGGAAAGGCGTCCCGCTCGCGGAGAGGAGGAGCCCCCCGAGCTCCCCGTCCCCTCCAGCCGGTCCCCGGCGCCGCCCCCGGAGGGCAGCGAGTGCGGAGCTCCCCGGGCCGCCGCCGCCCCCTCCCCGCGGCTCCCGGGGCGGCAGCCGGAGCGGGGCGGGGCAGGAGCCCCCGGCCCCCGCCCGCGGGGACCCTCGCTCCCGCCTCTCCGCCCGCCCTCCCCTCCCCGCCCCCGCGCACCGCCAGAGCCGCCCGGGGAAGCGCAGGAGAAGGAGCGTCTCCCCAGAGTCCCCGCCGAGCCCCGGTCCGGCGATGCTGAGGGCGAAGCGGGAGGAGGACGAAGGGCGGCCGCGGGCGGAATAAGAGGCGCTGCAGGAGCGGGACCGGGCACTGCCCCGCCGGGCTGCGGGAGGGCACCGCGGGGAGCCCCGACCCGCCCCGCCGGCGGCCCCGCGCCCGCGGGAGGGAGAGAGAGAGGGAGGGAGGGAGCGCCCGGTGCCCGCCCCGGCCGCCGCCGCCGCCGCCCGGGCGCCCCGCGGAGCAGCGCGGAGGGGCCGCCCCGCCGCGCCCGTCCATGGGGCGGCGCTGAGCGGAGGCGCGGCCGGAGGGCGCCGGGGGCAGCATGAAGTCCCTGCTCTTCAGCCGCTTCCTCCTGCTGCTGCCCTGGGTGCTCATCGTCATCATCGTGCTGGACATCGATAGTAGCCGGGCGCCGCTGCCCGCGCTGTACCCCCGCGGCGGGGGCGAGGGCGGTAGCGGCGGGGCGCGGCCTCCCGCCCCGCGGCGGCGGCCCGAGGCGGCGCTGCCCACCATCTATGCCATCACGCCCACCTACAGCCGCCCGGTGCAGAAGGCCGAGCTCACCCGCCTGGCCAACACCTTCCGGCAGGTGTCGCGGCTCCACTGGATCCTGGTGGAGGACGCGGCGGCGCGCAGCGAGCTGGTGACCCGGTTCGTGGCGGGCGCGGGGCTGCCCTGCACGCACCTGCACGTCCCCACCCCGCGCCGCTACAAGCGCCCCGGGCTGCCCCGCGCCACCGAGCAGCGCAACGCCGGCCTGGCCTGGCTGCGGCAGCGCCACCAGCACCTGCCGCCCCCGCAGCCCGGCGTGCTCTTCTTCGCCGACGACGACAACACCTACAGCCTGGAGCTGTTCCAGGAGGTGCGTGCGGGATAGGGAGGGGGGAAGGGAACGCGCGCGGCCGCGACGCTCCACCGCTTCCCGCCTCTTCGCGGGCTCCCACCGCATCCAGCATCCCTGCTTCCCGCCGCGCTCGCCCCTCTCCAGGCTCCCGCGCGGGGCTCTGCTCCAGCCCGCTCTCCGGCGGCTCGGTGCCCCTTACTCAGAAATTCCGGGCATGGGGAAGTCAAGCCGGGTCCCCGGCGCGGACACCTCGCCGCGCCTTTCCCTCAGCCCGGCTCCCCAGCGCTGCCTTCGTGCGACACTCCTCTCTTGATTTTTAAGTTTCTTGTCCCTGTGCTCCACGCTCCCCCCAACTTTTTACTGTTGTTTCTCTCTTTCCTGCCGAGTGAGGCAAGTTTAAGGTTTATATAAGGGCTCTTGTATTTTTGTTAAAACTGGCATGAAAAGCGCTCTTCGATAGTTTGTTATGGGGTGGGTTTTTTTGTTTCTTTTTCTTTCCGAGCTGCATCCCTCTCCTAGGGCAAACTTGCATCAGGAGTCGCCATCCTTCACAGTTTTTTCTTGGCAAATGAATTTACCCGGAGCCAGCTCCTTCAAGTGGACTTGCCTTTTTGAAGCCTTTTCGCTCTTGAAAGCAGCAAATCGTTTGTGTAACGACTAAACACCCTTTCAGGAGCCTCTTTTGTGAGGGGACCTGGTTTTGTCTTTATTGCCTTCCCTTGGTGAAGGGCTTTGTTTCGTTTCGGTGGGAATTGGCAAGCACTTGGGGCAGAGGGTATCCAGCTTTCTTTCTGGGTTCTCTCTGGCAGGAAGGAGGGACTTTAATAAGTGGACATAAAACAGCAGAAGACAGATCATGTACATCTATCTGCGACAACTAGGAGAGTACCCTTGGCAGGGAAATAAGGGAGGGAAAGGGAAAAGTAGGTTGGCAGCGGATAGGGAACGCACACGGCTTCAGACAGACTGTGGTCCGTATCTTCCTGCTGGTGAACAGAACTGTATTTAGAGGTGTACACCCATATTCTACAGCTTGCTTCCAAGCAATGTGCCTCCTTGTGTGCTTTACAGTCAGTAGGCTAAAATGAACACAATACACAGAAATGTGAAGCACATACAATTCCCTAGAGCAAGCTGGTTTAGAAATGTTTAGGTTTGTAATGCATCCCTTTCAATTTCCAGTGAGTGGGCAGGTGCATGGTCCCCATTCAGCAGAGATGTCCTACTTCTTTTGCCCATTTGGCATTCAGCATTAAAGCTGCTAGTTTAAGGATCTTTGCCTGGAGGCTAAACCTTTGTTGTAATTGATTTTTTTCTTTTAAATTCTCGTGGCTGTTCTTAGCACATTATAATGCAGAGTAATTCCACCGTACCCATCTTTGATGTGATGGGAGTGCCCATATGTATATTCACAGATATAAGGCTAATCTGATTGAATTTTAGGAAGTCTGTTAATTGAAACAGAAAGTACACTTCAACACAATTACTAGTGTGGGACAACAGATATTTGGAGACAAATATTTACTGGTTTTTTTGATAGCTTTTTGGTTTTGGGTTTTTTCTTTTAGTACCAACATTACACACAAGCTAAAGAGAACAGTATTGACAGGCATTTCACTTCAGCGACCCAGAGCTACTGAAAAGGGGTTCGGTCACATTTATTATTTTATAATTTCTATCATTATTCTTCTAATCACTGTGAAGGATGCAACAGAAAGGTACAAATTACCTCTTTGATCAGCTAGGAAATGCAGGAAAGCAAGGGGATAAAGCTGTCTGAAGGGTTAACCTTGAAAATTACAGACACAACAGGCAACCTGTGTTTTCTCTTGCTAACAAGAATTGCAACCTCCAGCATGAACCTCTGCAGTCCTAAGACTTCCTTTTCACCGAGGTTCAGCTGCTGGGGAAGAGGTGTTTATTCTGAGCCGTGTGTTCACAGACAGACACATATGAATGAGTTTTCCCTGTGAAATGTGGTGGTTGGAAAACTTAGTTATGGGAGTGGAGAAGGAGCTTTTACTTCAGTTACCTCTGCAAGTTCCCATGACTGTTTTCTGGGGTCACTAACGAGCTGTATGCAAGGTCTCAGGGACACCACTGGTAGTAACACAGGGACTGCCTTGTGGACCTGGCAAAGTTAATGGAAGTCCCTTGGCAAGCTTTGCCAACAAGATGTGCCTTTATGTGTGGGAGGTTACATTTGGAGAGAGCCAGGAGTCTGATTTTCAGTTGAGGCACTGCTTGAGGGCTGGTTGCCTTTTTTTTTTTCTTTCTTGATAAAAGAAATTCTATGTCTTCATGGATTCTGGCTTGACAGCTCTGGAGTAAATCCTGATCTCTCCTTCAGGAATTGATAGACATATGAGTGTAAGCTATACTTGCCTTTTCCAAGCATGAAGAGAACAGCTTCAGAACACACTGTGTGCAGATGAAATCTGGTAGTAATTCCTGTCATGAAAGTGGTGGTGACTCTGCTTGAGAGGGAGTTTTTTCACTTCGTTGCCCTGCCGGGAACAATTCTCTAGACCTGCAGTTGCTTAATCCTAAAAGAGGTCTGATAAACTGAAGTTTGCTCACTGGGAGGGGGCAGTTTAAATGTAAGAGGACAAGACAGGAGCTCCAAATTCTCATCCTACCATACCCACCATCCTGTGCTGGCGGTGTGACTTCCAGCATGTCACTGACACAGGCACAGAGATGTGTAGGTCCCAAATTGCCAGCAGCAATGTGAGATACAGTCTGCCCACAAGCAGTTATGTACATTTGCTGTCTTATGAAATAGTAGGTCTGTCTTCTTTGTAATAGCTTGTTTCTGAGTCAAAGCTAGTTTCAGTAACAGCAGTGATGGGTTGGGGAGATGGGAACCAAGGCTGGTTAGCATTGTAAAGCCAGCATGAGAGAAACATTGGTGTTAGGGATGTGTTTTGCTCAGAGGTTAAAAAAGCACAACTGTGGAGCAAAAGGTGAGCCACGGACCTGCATGTCAGTGAGGGATTATGTTTAAGGCAGCTCTTTTGCTGTGGCTTTCCCTAGTGCCCTGCAGAAGACAGAGCCTTTTTAACAAAGCAAAATCAGCAAAAGCTTTACTGGGAGTTGTAGTGTAGTTGTGAGGGTCATGATCAAAAAGGAGCATGCTTTGACATGAAATGCCATGGGATACTTCTGAGAGCTTTTGATGAGGAAATTCTAATCTCTGTCCAAAGTCCTTCTGCCTGGTATGTATAGGAATGAATACTTCATATTTGATATGGAGTGAGCTGGGCCCAGTAGAACTAGGCCTAGTGTGTTTCATGGAAATCAGGAAAAAAAACCCAAGAACCCAGTTTACAGTAGAATTTTTCTGGAAAATGTCACCGTCTGTAGTAAATCTGGAAGCCTTTAGTGCTGTTTATAATTATCTTTATTCCTATGAGCTATGATGGAATGTGGATGTATAGGTTAGTTTTCTGATTGGCAAAACTACGTCCTCAAAGTCCAAACTGGGCAGGGTATGAGCAGGTTTAATCGTCCTTTCTAGAATAAGGTGGAGATCCTGGTTTGTCTTTCTGCTGCTACGCTATGTTCAGCATTGGCTCTCTTGAGGATTTCATTAGGAAAGGCTTACTCTCCCTGGAAAGGCTGCAGGAAAAGAACCAGTTTGTTCAGCAATTGTGAAATTCTTGAGAGTACTAAGCAGGGCTGCAGCAGTGATGAAGAAAATATCTCCAGGAGTGGAGAAATGACCTTTAAGTTATTCCCAAATCTTTCTGCTTGAGCATACAGTGGTGGTCAGGTAAAAAATCATGCTTTTATTTTAATGCCTGTGGTTCTGGCATGTTATATTTTGTTATAAATATTTTGGGATCCAGACCTCAAAAGTAATTATGTATTTTCTGCTCCAATATGAGTTGTTCACCTGAAGGTGTACATCTGCATCTTGCCATCAAAAACAACAGTCTGCTTTCTCAAAATATCTGTTTTCTGTTGAAAGTCAGCCTACATTCATAAAAAAAAACAATGAAAAGCCTGAAATCCCAACTACTACATTTAAGATGTTTTACAGATGTTTCTACATGAATCATCATAACTTCCATTTTTTTACTATAGGCTGTTCTTTTTGTAATGGCTATCTTATAGTTTCTGGTGCATTTGTGTTTCATCTTATTCCTGAGTGCAAGTTATTGGAATATTGTGACTGATGCCTAGCAACTGCCGATTGCACATTTTTAAACTTCCAGAAAGAAAACCTTAGATAAAGCTGCCATTCCACCTTCATAGAGAGTTTTTAAAAACAGGATTTACCTAAGCACTAGAAACTGAAGATAGAGAGCCAAGTTCCACTTCCCTTAACTCTTCACATAATTCATGTGTTTCTACGTCTCAGGCATTTTCTCTGCTCTTTCTGTGTTTTGTGTAGTTGGCCAAAAGCCACCACTTCCTTAATCCATGCCTGGATATGTGTGCAACTTGGAAAAATAAGTGTTAGAGATCCACTCTGCTCTTGATTCTACAGACTGCCCTGAAACCTTGAGGGTGAGGGGTGAGCAGCTTAAGAAGTATGAAGAAGAGGAGTAAAGGTCTTCAACATCTGTGAGAAAGTGAGCTTGCTGCATTCAGAAATGCATTGAGTTTTAGAGATTCCTTTTGCTTGTATTTTGTATAGACACCTAAACCGAGATATGTGTGAAATTAAAATGCCCATATCTAAAACTATGCTCTCCCTCCCTACCACCCGTAGGCCTCTGGTCACTGATGTCCAAAATTTCATAGCGAGGTTTGCTAGGTATCCAGAGTATGCACGTGTGTCATGCTCCACTGTCTGTCTGAGTGCTAGGAGAGGATTTGCAGACTGGGCCTCCTTAGAGAAATCCATGCTCTAAGGTGTGATCTGAATACAGCCTTGCAGCATGGAGTTTAAAGTAAATCACAGCCCTAATTGTCATTTCTGAAGGGTAGAAAAAAAACAATCCAAACTTTAGTAGCTTAGCAGTTAGCCCTGTTCCACTGAGTTGTGGACCAGAATTCAACTTGCTGTA